ACAAGAAAAAATAAAGTAGTTACTGCAGGTTGAAGGAAAGTAGTAGAGTAAAATACCGATACTGAAGTAAAAATGTACTCAAGGGAAAATAAAAGTGCACACTTTAAAAACGACTTAGTAAATTATAATTTCTGAGAAACACTACTCAATTACAGTAGTTTGAGTAATTTGTTACTTTACACCACTGTAGATCAACATTAATGCATTATTAACATCTTAACATGTACTTGTTAACATTAGTTAATGCACAGAGAGCTTACATGAACTAACATTATTTAACTTAAAAACATTAACATTAACAAAGATGAATGAATACCATAACAAATGTATTACTAATTGTTTTATAGTGTTGGTAAATACATGAACTAATAGAACATTATTCTAAAGTGTTGCCAAAAATATTAAGCATTTTTGATGCAAGGGAGCATGTTGATTTTAGATAGGTAGAGATAAGGCTGAATGGCACTGCTTGGTACAAGAGTCCACCAACTTAATCCAGCAATTAAGCAAAAAGTGTGGTGCGGAACTTGATCCCGCAAAACAAAAGCACATGAGACTGTGCCATAGCCAAACACCAGCGTGATCAAAATGACTGTGATACTTAGAAAAGCCTTTTTCTTCAGCTGATACGCTCCTTCTTTCTCCTTTCCATCCCCCGGTTTGGGTCTTTTCAAAACACATAAAATCATGAGAGAGCAAGATGAACACACAACTAATACGACAAGATACATTGCCACGAAAAGACATATTGGCAGTGTAGGGTAGGAGTAAACTGTATACCATCCAGCCATCAGAATTATCAGCCAGACCAGTCCAACAAATGACGCTTTTACTTTAAGGGCTTTCGTGTATCTTAGGTAGACCAGCGGATGGACCACAGCCAGATAGCGCTCCACACAGAAAAAGGTTTGGAAGAGTGGTCGACCCATCAGGAATGTACTGCACAGGTAATTAGCGATTAGTGTAACTACTTTCTTATTAGGCAAAGTACCAGACAGAAAAACGATGAGAGAAATGTTGCAAATGATCTCAGTGACAGATTGGTTCAAAACGACAAAGTCTGCCCTGGCAACACCTTTAATTCCTCTGATCAGCCACAAAATCCAGCAGTTCAGGGGCAGAAAAAAGATGACGTTCAGCATTATGACCAAAGCAATGAGAAGGTTTCCTGGATAGGAGTCCATGCACTCATAAAACGGATCAGCAGTGGAGTTGCTGTTGGACAACAAGTCAACAGTGCTGTTCAATGCCATATTTGCTCAGACTTTGCTGTTTTCTGCATGAAATGAGTTTGAATTAGTTCATATGTACAGCAGTTTCATATATGCATGCAGTGCTTGCAAGCCTGAGGATCACTGTTGTTCAGAAATTTCAGAAAAAAGAAAATTAAGCCTGTTACTCACAGTACACATGAGTAGATGTCCGTGTGTTTGTGCAGCTTTTAGCGTATTGTGAGGTTATATTCTGTATATAAACTATTCTGATGGCCACTCCTCTCAATCATGGTAATCTTAGGTAACTGGGGGTGTTAGGTAACTGCAGTCATATGTTTGCTGCACTTCATTCAAAACAAATGTGTGTGTGTGTGTGTGTGTGTGTGTGTGTGTGTGTGTGTGTGTGTGTGTGTGTGACTATTTTTCAAAAATACTTTCATTATTGTGTATGATTATCACATACATCAGTGGTTGCCAAATAGGGCGTCGGGGGACAATGACAGGAGGTCGCTTGGTGATTCCCAAAAGTCAGATAAATGTTATTTAACTATTAGAGTGATCATATTTAAATCTTAACCCACAGAAGATAAAAATAGTAGTTTTAAATAGTAAAAAAACAACAACAACATGCAAATAACAAGCCTTTAAATGATTTTTTTTTTTCATTTTTATAGCACCAGGTTAAACTTTTTGACACCTTTATGGCAATTAAATACATTAAAAATAAATACAGGCCAAAATTCAACATTGAGAATAATCTCTGATTGGCAGTCTCCAAAATTAAACCAAGAATACACTCCTGCAAAAAAAACATTGTGTTTGCCAGTCTCTTTAGCTGAAGTCAATATTAAATTTAACAAATTAATAAATGGCTTGTAAAATACTATGTTTGTTAGAATGTTGCACTTTCCTGTGTTGTCAATATGCTCATGTTTATATAGGCCTATTGCTGTGTGTGCAACGTTTGTATATTTATAACCACCTCTGACGAATTTGGGGGTTGCGAGTCACTGGCGTTGTTTTTTTAGGGGTCGCAGGCTGAAAAATTTGAGAACACCTGACATACAGTTGAAGTCAGAATTATTAGCTCCCCTTTGAATTTTTTTTCTTTTTCAAATATGTCCCAAATGATGTTTAACAGAGCAAGGACATTTTCACATTATGTCTAATAATATTTTTTCTTCTGAAAAAAAAGTGTTATTTGTTTAATTTTGGAAAGGATACAAGCAGTTTTTTAAATTTTTTTTAAAAACATTTAAGGTGAAAATTATTAGCAATTACTATTTAACTCTACATAATCAGAACCTGTAAATAACTCTTAGGTGTTCTTTCAATGTGTTCACAAAGTGGCTAAAATTACTGAATTTTTGCTACCCAAAGAAATAATGTTGCAATATTGCAGCATATCCTTACAGACAAAAATCACAAATCCTGACAAAATGTAAAAAATGTGAAAAAATGTCTACAACATGTAAAAGCTGAAAAAATCCTCTGTTTTTTCATACTTGGGTCTTTGAGGATTAAACTGTAAAGAAGAGGTTTGTTTTCACACATAAATTGATGACCAGTTGACCTGAACCCAACCAAACATCTTGAGATGTGCTCGAGTGACTTTACCGAGTGGTTCTCTTCAGGATTATCTTTTGGATCATCTGAATCTTTGACACAGTGTGAATTTTTTTTTGTGACATTTTAACACAAAACTCATGCACAAAGATTATTTCCATCAAGTGATGCAATGACTTGTGATTGAGATCTTGTATTTGTAATGGGCTCACTTGTTAAATCGGCCAGTTGGTGCTCTATTCATATGTAAAAACAGAGTCTGTATAGGAAAAATAATCAAATGCCTTCACACCTATTTTAGTAGTTGCAAAATATTATTTGAACTAAGTACATTTCAAGAGATGTGACTTTAGTTGCAGTCATTGTCTTATGAGAGCAGCCATGCTCCAACTCTACTATTGGAAAAGAGCGTAATGACCAGCTTTGATCAAATCATGATGATAACTTATTAAAATTAAATTATTGAGTTGTGTTTAGGGAAGCTCAGTTCGCTGGTTCGAGCTTCAGCTGGGTCGGTTAGCGTTTCTGTGTGGAGTTTGCATGTTCCCCGTGTTTTTGTTGGTTTCCTCCGGGTGCTCCGGTTTCCCCAGTCCAAAGACATAAGCCTCTAGGTGAATTTGGCCTTTGTGTATGAGTACGATTGTAAGTTTATTTGGGTGTTTCCCAGCACTGGGTTGCAGCTGGAATAGCATCCCCTGCGTAAAACATATGCTGGAATAGTTGGTGATTAATTCTGCTGTGGCAATTCCTAATGAATAAGAGACTAAGCTAAAGGAAAATGAATGAACGAATGAGTTGTGTTAAGTTGCTATTTAGACCAACTAAGTGGGCCTGTAAGTTTGAATACTATCTACTGGAAAACTGATCTTCTGTACATGTCTCCATTTTCTTGAACGTGACTACTACGTTTCAAATAATGAGTTGCACATCCAGTCTGCACAGGGAACTTTCATTCAAAAGAACTAAAACCAATGACATGAAAAAATAAGATTGTTAAAAAATAGATAGCGAAAACTGAGTAATTCATTTTAGTTGTTTTGATAATATGTGCTTGGTATTTTAATGTAATGTATTATTCTTTCAAGCATACCTTTAACCAAAGCGCTCTGAGAAAAAAAAAGAGTTCACTGTGTTTTGTTCCTCCAGATTATTTTCTCTTTGCATTTCCAACAGTTACCTTCAAATAATTTTCAATATAGCTACATTATCTTTGTAATTTTAAATGAGAGAGAGAGACATTTGGGGTAAATCATTCTAATACATTTCCTTTTCATATATAATGGATGAAATGTGAAGAGAATATTGTACCCATCCTTTAAAACTAATTTGAACTCATTATTGTTATTTTAGAGTTATACGGAAGTTACTATCCCATAATTCATGCAAAAAACCACCGGGCAAAGAAAAAATGAATAGGAGTGGATAGGCGGGTTGTATATATATATATATATATATATATATATCATTATTATTGGATGCTTGAAAACAATTAAACATCAATTAAACAACAACAATCCAGGGGTTTTCAGTCATTTAGTCCAAGACAATTGTCAAGTCCTTTATCAAAGTCCTTGTTCGTATTGCTTTTAAGTTTGTTGATCCCTCAATAGACTCAAAATACATTTTCATTTCAATTTTAAATTGAGAAAAATAAAGTTTACACTTACAAAACTTGACTTAGTGAATATTTATTTCGGCCAACAAATAAAAAAAAATTAAGAATATCACACTAAAATGTAATTGAATGAGGGCACATCCAAATAAATTAACAAAAGTTTCAGGATTCAGTAAGCAAAAGGAACAGTTGATGTTGATAACTCTTAAGCATTTAAGATTATACTTGTCTGGATAGCATCTTTGAATCAGTTTAAATACAACTTCTCTTATTTTGTCTGTTATAAAAATATGTGGGGTATTGACCAAACTTTTTTTCATGAAATATCATTTACAAAACCTCTCCAATATGACATTACATAAGGCAGAATAGTAGTAGTACAATTTTCCTTAAACAGGGCTCTTATTTTCTTATTACATTTTGATTTAGATAATGAAGGGCACTGGTTACCAATAAATGTTTACCAAAGGTCCACTAAATGACAAGTAATTGTAAATGAAAGAGGCGGGTTGTATATGTTTACTTGCCCTTTTGTTTGCCTAATGTCGCGCGATCACATTTAATCATCTTTGTTTTGTTTGTAAGAGCCAGAACTGGTCGCGCAGCAGTGACGTAATCGGCCTTCGAAGAATGCAGCCTGTGAACTGGGACGCAGCTAAAGTGGGAAAGCGGAAAAGCCTCATTTAAAAACACCGGACATTGTTTTGATACCTTTAACTTTCTGATTTAAACATCCTTATTAATGCTACTTTGGCTTCGCGAACAGTCGTTTAATGCGAATGCTTTATTAGCATTGTTTGCTGACTTGATTGGAGTGGCACACGTTAATGTTTGTTTGGTAATGCGAAACGCAGCTAATGTATTTCAAAGCTGTATTCTAGATGTGTATTAGTCTTGAAATCATAACTGCTCGCATCTATAACAATGGCATGTTATAGCCCATATATTTAACACTTAACGTATTTTCATTGTCCATTATTCATTGTATCCTAGTCATCTTGGATCTGAAACTGGATTTTTGTGGTAAATCATTTTCCATGTCATTGCAAATATACACATTTTTTTTTAAAAATGAAACCTTGGAGTATCTGTGAAATATCTGTGCTATCTTGTATGATCAATTATTAGATTTTACCACAGATATACTGTGATGAATGTTCAAGCTGCAGAATGTCTGTTTATTTATATATTGGGGATTAAACCATTATTATTAGTTTCATCTTTATCAAACTCAGTCAATTCTTACAGAGCATGCTGGTTAAAGTGAAACTCGGAGATGCCCAAAAGTTCTTTAAAATAACAGACCAGACCCTGGAGGAATTTTTATCTGCTGGTAAGAATTACACATGTCATATTAACCTTGAAACATTTGTGATTTAATTGAATTACTGAAAATAATTTACCTTTTTTTTTTTTTTTTTGTTTAGCCTTTTTAAAGTTTGGTGTTAAAGCTGTACCTGGAAATGTGAAGGTTATTGACGAATCTGGCACTGAGGTGGATGAAGATGTGTTTGAGGAGGTAGTCAAGGATCCATCAGTTGGCATTCTCACCATAAAACCTATTGCCGGTTAGTATTTTCCATATTATCACTTTGTTATTATGAATGATACCATTAGGATCATATAATGACCCCTTTATATGTATATGCAACCAGACTTGGACACTGCGTCTCAGCAAGCATGCCTTGTGCCATCAAATCAGCCCCAGTTTTCATCCATTGACTCCACTGACTCACAGGAAACACTTACTAATGAAGACAGCTCTGTCAGTAAACGGATAAGGCTGGATGATGGTGATGCTAAAAAGGTGGGCATCAAGTTTTTAGTAATTATACAATCTGGTTTAAAAGTAAATAACTGAATATAACTAAATGACAATATTTTAGTGATTGAAGTTTTCAAGTAATATGCAAAATTATTATATACTAGGGGTGTAACAGATCACGGTTGATCCATGATTTGTACGGATCACAACCCATAGTTCAGATCACACGTGACCTGCGGATTAATGTTTTTTTTTTTTTTTTTGTAGATTAATCCAAAATGTGCAGTGATTGCAGAGAGATCGCCTCTTGCCTCATTGAAATCACATGTATTAAAGCATTTAGGCTTTGCTGTAAAATATGATGATGAAAGAAGTTGTTGTCGGATGTTCAGGATGGGGTGGGTTTCTTAAAAGGTGTTTTGTGTCACTACTTGTTTAGCCTACATTAATGCATTCTGTGTAAATTGCACGAATAATCATTAAAAGATCAGGATCTCAACACCCACGCAACATACGTTATAAATGATGCTAATTTGCATGTTTATTAATTCTTCGAATCGCTGCTTTCTAATCTGTGTTTGAAAAATGCATAAAACAAGAAAGAGATTGAGTCTTTATTCTTTTAAGTTAGTTATGAAGTTGCAAACAGTCAATAACACAGAAGAACTGGGATAACAGTTTATAGTTTAGATATACCCACTGATGTTTATGGTAACGATTAAAGTCACAGCCATATGCATTTATGACGCTCAAAAATGAAAGTTGTAGGCAGCAAATACATTATTTAACCAATAGGTGGCGACAACCAGCCATCAAAATATGCTACTGAATAATTCCCAAAAATGACACATCTAGCAATGAAACAAAGTTTTATGAGTGAATAACTAAATCATTTATTGAAAAATAGACTAAAATAATAAAAAAATTGTACAGATTATAATGTTAGATTTATATATTTAGCATTATCAGCAAAAGTAGTAGTAACAGAGAATTTTCACACTACTGAATATTTTACATTTTATTGAGTTGATTATTTCTTCATTTTATTTTTAATAAAATTACTGCTTTTAAGTTTTGTTTGTAAAACCAAAAGTGTCTTGCAGTACTGTGAAATGGAAAGCAACTCACAATCTCCTCCTTTTTTGGGGTGATTTAAAAAAATGGTCTGATCCGTGACTAAAAAACCATTATGTGATCCGAACCGTGAGATCTGTCACACCACTATTATATATTATATTTTATTTATTATTTATTTTGTTCCAAACAGTATTTTTATTTTGATCATGCTATATTAAGTTATTTTTGTTGTTGTTATGCAGTTGGTGGAATCGGTTCTCCTCCAGAAACCTGGTGGAGAGCGTATAATAAACGAATATCACCGAACTAAGACTTTAGGAGATGCAACAAGGAGGAAGATGGTTAACATTCTGGCAGCTGACATGATGGAGAAGAATGGGTAATCTGCATAATCATCAACTGGTGTATTTATGATCTTTTACTTTGACTTTTTTCAATCAGGGCTTAAGAAATGTGATTTTTTTTTAAAGATGCAGTAGAGCACCACCAAAGCAGGTGAGAGAAAAATATGCCAAAGGAATTGTGGCACTGTTCCCTTGCCTCAGCGACCCTTTCTCCAAAAATGGTTATGTAAGTGTCAAATCATTTTTCAGTTGCAAATCTTTTCTGACTTTTTAAAACATTGAACACACCAAATCCTCTGTTTGATCTCTTTTACTATTCCTTCTGTATTTTTGTTTTCCTAAGGAGCATTACTATGATTGTGAGACTGGCACTGGGTATTTAGCATGGAGGATCAAAACAATACAAAGAGGTTTAGCTAAAGAACGACGAGAATCACTTGAAGGTACACTATGAAATTCCGAAATCTCCTGCTTTTTCAGTTGTGTTGCTACTGACATTTTTAATTGAAGTGAAGTAAGCTTATATCACCTTAAAGCTTTTAAAGGGGTGGTCCACCACATTATCATGTTTTAATCTTTAGTTGATGCGTAATGTAGCTGTGTGAAACGTAATCAACATCTCTGAATGTAATACGCTCAAAGTTCAATGCAAAGGGAGACATTGGCTTTTACAGAGTAAGCTTAGCAAAGCGTACAGCGAACAAAGTTTGAGGACTACAATAAAATGCATCTGGGTTAGTGAGATCACAAATGCTTCAGGTTACAAGCATGCACCCTGTGCATACACACTTGTGCAGCAAAGGGCTGTGGCCAGAGGCGCAGTAATGTTATAACAGAGAAAGCTAAAATGTCGTCCAAACGCTGCTATTTCCACAGAGCTTGTTCTGTTTCTGTATTTGGGTTTCCTAGGGTCATGACACAAAAAGAGAAGTGCTTACAGTTTAATTTTAATTGTGTTCCAGAGAATTATAAAAAAATATATAGCTAGTATTTGACAAAGGACAGCTTCCAGAATCTCCTCCAGTTCAGTGTTGGATTCAGCTAAAATCCTCAAAGAAGGAGCAGCTCCAACCATAATATACAAAGCTGTGGATTGTGAGCCACAACCTGTAAGTATTTTTATTTGGTAAAATTGATCTATTACATGCATATCGTTAAAAGTGTTGTAGCAAGGACGTAAACAAGGATGTAAACAACAGGAAATGCTGTTTGGCACTGTAAACACTTTAGCTACAATTTCATACTTATCCATTAAATCGCTGTAAACACCCACAGTGTCTCTTTATGCAGCCGCTTTCCCTTCGTTCTACATCTTAGATAAAGAACTCGCAAAAGATATGTGAACAACATATTACTTACACATGCTTATGAGAGACACTTGTTAGGGTTTTTTTTTTTTTTTTAGAGCAGGCGTGAGGTTCAGCTGTGTGCTCTTCATTTTCTGTCTGCTTCAGGCTCAAACTAATATGGCTAACAGCTACTCTGACTGACAGTATTTTCACTGCGAGGCACAGCATGTGCTATTAGAGGCGTGACGCTTTTCCTGGTGATGATTGCAAATCACAGCACATTATGTTAGCTGACCAATCGAAACCTTTTCAGGGCGGGCCTTTCGGAAGAACTAGGAAATATGGCACTGGTTGTGTTCATGTTAGCTGAGTAGCTGTATATAACAAAAGTAAGATATATGAAAAAATAACGTGACTTTTGTTTTTAAAAAAGAAGCATGAGCACACATTGCTTTGCATCTTATATACACAACCAAGCCTTAATAATACACTCTCTGGACCACCCCCTTAAAAAGGCTTGTTTACAACATCGAGCAAGTTTACATTCCTAGTGATAACTAACAAAGATCAGCTGATTAAAACAGACCGTTGTCTATAGTAATGCCTGTTTACAACTATATTATCTTTTATCCACAGCCTCAGTCAAACAGCCCAGAAAGATACCCTGTTCACAAACCAACCGTTCTTGTGGACCAGTACCTTTCAGTGAGCCTGATCATCAGATGGGGATGAACCAACTGGATCTGTTTACAGCTCAAACCAGCACAGACCAACAGATTACTCAGTGTTTAAATAATCAACAACTATCATCATTTGAAGGTACGCCATGAAATTCAGAAATCTAATTTGCATTTTTGTTTTATAGTATACTTTTTTTTTACTTTAAAGGATCACCATTATAGAGCAGTGGTCTTGGACTCAATTCCTGGAGGGCCGCAGCTCTGCACAGTTTAGCTCCAGCCACCTTCAACTCACACCTGCTTAATAGTCCCTAGTAGTTATGAACACCTTGATTAATTGAATCAGCTGTGTTTGATTAGAGTTGGAGCAAAACTGTGCAGAGCTGCGGCCCTCCTGGAATCGAGTTTGACACCTATAGTATAGAGAATTTAAGTGTTGTCAAAACTCTTAAAAGTATCGTTCTTATTCATCAGAACAAGCACTTTTGGCTTTATCAACTGTAAGACAGCAGGCGGAGTTTACTCCGGAGACGTTCTTAAATGAGGATGTAAGCAAGGATGATTTCTGGTCCAATGTACAGCGCGTTATCGTACAGGTATCCCTTCTTTTTGTTTTATTGTTTAATAGTTTAGGTCCATCCAGTAGTGCAATAGCAGCAAGTGCAGTATATAGATATACGCTCTAAGTAAATATATAGAAAACTATGGGTAATATTTATAGGTGGATGTATTATGAACATAATATACAAAGTGTAATAACTATTTTCAGAGATTTACAAATAGATTTACAAATAGCTGAACGTACTGTACAGGTTGTTATTGTTAATCAGGGATATGCAAATCGATATGAACAATATGCAGATTGATATTTGCTATAAGCAAGATAAACAAATAGATATGTGGATAGGGATATCATCCATGAAGACTACATTAGGGGCTATAGGAGCACCTCAAGGGTTTCAGCTTGCTTGTTCAATAATGTTTAATGAAATGTGGTCATACTAAAGTGCTGAAATTGTAAATCTATTCACAAATAATGTGAATAATGATTATTCACCCATTGCAATAAAATGCATGTACTTATTTATTTATTGTATATAAATATAAAACCATTTTCCACTGTTTTCCACTCTTCTTTAAAAAAACTAACAACTTTATTTAATGTCTTCCAGACCATGCTGGTTAAAGTGAAACTTGGGGATGCCCAAAAATTTGTAAAAATAACCAACCTGAGCATGACGGAATTTTTGTCTGCTGGTAAGAAATGCATATGATTTCTTAATATTATTGTATGTTTTTGATTTCAAAAACAGATTTGTATATGATAATAAATATATTGTCACATTGCATGTGCCCAGACGATGCTCATAGTTAACAGTGACTGATCATTTACATCAGAGCTGGCCAAACTTTTTCTTATGAAGGACCAAAAACCAAAATTGATTGAAGGTGGTGGGCCGCAGCTAAATATACCAAACTGTATTACATTGAAGTTGCCATGGAAACATTCAAATTTAATAATATTTTAAAAATATTTAGAAAAAAATACTTTAATGGTATTAATAATGATAATTATAAATAAGATTTTATAATGTACTTACAATAAAACCCTACACAATCTCACTTTTAACACAATGAAGATCAATGTTATATTTTTATTTTAAAAAATAATTAGTTTTTACATAATAATGAAATATATGTGTCATAATAGTGTTTTTAGCAACGTGCCACACATAAATATGTCAACATGTAAAAATAAAGATAAATAAATAAATTCCCATCCTTAGTCCATCTCTATTTGATTTATTGGCAGGCCAAATCAAAGGTTACAACTTTGGCCCGCAGGTCTTAGTTTGGGCATCTCTGATTTACATAATACCCTAGCTCAGGGGTGGCCAGCCCTGTTCCTGGAGAGCCACCTTCCTGCAGATTTCAGTTGCAAACCATATCAAACACACCTGCCTGTAATTATCGGGTGGTGTTCAGGTCCTAATTAATTGGTTCAGGTGTGTTTGATATGGGTAGCAACTGAAATCTGCAAGAAGGTGGCTCTCCAGGAACAAGGTTGGCCACACCTGCACATTGTAAAATTCACATCGTCTCTCAATAAATTGCATACCTGCTCTTTTAAGCCTTTTTAAAGTTTGGTGTTCAAGCTTTACCTGGGAATGTGAGGGTTATTGACGAATCAGGGACTGAGGTGGATGAAGATGTGTTTGAAGAGGTAGTCAAAGATCCCTCAGTTGGCGTTCTCACCATTAAACCCATTTCAGGTTTGTATTTGCCAACTTTGCCACATTTACGACAGTATCATCAGTATCATTTAGACTTTTTTTCTTTCTTTTTTTATATAACCAGACTTGGAATCTGTACCTCCACAACCACAAGCATGTCCTGTGCCATCAAATCAGCCCCAGTCTTCAACCATTGACTCCACTGACTCACAGGAAACACTTACTATTGAGGACAGATCTGTCAGTAAACGACTGACGCTGGATGAGGATGCTAAAACGGTGGGCATCAAGATTTTATGCACTTTAGGAGAAATTAAATAAAACCTTTTCAATTAATATGTTTTAAATATATATATATATATATATATATATATATATATATATATATATATATATATATATATATATATATATATATATATATACACACACACACACACACACACACACACACACACACACACACACACACACACACACACACACACACACAGTTGAAGTCAGAATTATTAGCCCCCCTGAATTATTAGCGCCCCTGTTTATTTTTTTTCCCCAATTTCTGTTTAATGGAGGGAAGATTGTTTCAGCACATTTATAAGCATAATAGTTTTTAAAACCTATTTCTAATCACTGATTTATTTTATATTTGCCATGATGACAGTAAATAATATTTTACTTGATATTTTTCAAGACACTTCTATACGGCTTAAAGTGACAATTAAAAGCTTAATTAGGTTAATTAGGTTAACTAGGCAGGTGAGGGTAATTAGGCAAATTATTCTATAACGATGGTTTGTTCTGTAGATTATCGGAAAAAAAAATTGCTTAAAGGGGCTAATAGTTTTCTCCCAAAAAATGGTTTTTAAAAAATTTAAAACTGCTTTTATTTTAGCCGAAATAAAACAAATAAGACTTTCTCCAGAAGAAAAAATATTATCAGACATACTGTGAAAATTTCCTTGCTCTGTTAAACATCATTTGGGAAATATTTAAAAAAAGAAAAAAAATCAAAAGGGGGCTAATAATTCTGACTTCAACTGTATGTATATATATATATATATATATATATATATATATATATATATATATATATATATATATATATATATATATATAATTTTTATTTATTTTTTTATTAATTAATTAACTTATTTATTTATTTATAAAATAAAAATATTTAATATATAAAATATATTTTTCTATCACATCTTTTTTTTCTCCCAACCATTTTTTCCCCTACCTTCACGTCCCTTTCAGATCTCATTTTCTGTATAATTTTATATTTTATTTATTATGTCTTAAAAGAATATGGAAATATTTGAATTCTTATCATGCCCTATTTATCCTTTTTTTATTTAGTTGGTGGAATCGGTTCTTCTCCAGAAACCCGGTGGAGAGCGTATAATAAATGAATATAACCGAACTAAGACTTTAGGGGACTTAACAAGGAGGAAGATGGTTAATATTTTGGCAGCTGACATGATGAAGAATGGGTAATCTGCATAATCATCAACAATTTATGCTCTTTTACTATATTTCTGTGGTTTCCTTAAATCCGTGCTACGGAAATTTAAGGTCTTTTTTTATTATGCAGTACAGCACCACCAAGGCAGGTGAGAGAGAAATATGCCAAAGGAATTGTGGCTCTGTTCCCTTGCCTCAGTGACCCCTTCTCCAAAAATGGTTATGTAAGTGTCATCATTTTTCAGTTGCAAATCTTTTCTGACTTTTTAAAACATTGAACACACCAAATCTTCTGTTTGATCTCTTTTACTATTCCTTCTATATTTTTGCATTCCTAAGGAGCATTACTATGATAGTGAGACTGGCACTGGGTATTTAGCATGGAGGATCAAAACAATACAGAGAGGTTTAGCTAAAGAACGACGAGCATCACTTGAAGGTACAGAAATCTCCTGCTTTATTTACAGTTTTTTTTTTACTACTGAAGACTTAACTGTGACATTTGTAATTGTACTAAAATGATATGGTACAAACTGAACATTGTTCACAACATTATTACCTTTAATCTACAGCATCAAGCAAACGTTCTGGAGAAATGGATGAACTGGGTAACCAAATTAGACTGAAACGCATGAAGCAGCTCCTGGCTCAAACCAGCACAGATCCACAAATCGCACAACTAGCATCATTTGAAGGTACTCAATAAAAGGAAATACCTCCTTCATCATTTACTTTGCAGTTTACTAAATACAAAGCAGGACTTTTAGATTTTAAAGCATCAACATGATAAACTCTTGTTGAAATGTATCTTTCTTTGTTTTATCAGAACAAGGTTTGTCTGCAGTATCTACAGTAATGCTGCAGTCAGGATTTGCTCCAGACACAGTCTTGAGTGAGGAGGAATGCAATGAAGCAATTTTATTCATGAACAACTGCCCCGATGAGGATGAGATCTACAAGAAAATGATTTTGACATTTGACTATCGGCGGAAAATGGTTCTTGACCAAACACGATCAAGTGATGTGTTGACAGTCTTCCCACGCTTCAAAGATATTAAGGGCTTGGTAAAGTGTTGAATTTATTTACTTTTTAAATGCAAGGATGTTATCTAAAGTCTGCATAAACTGCAAACCGATGTTTTTTTTCGTATTGTGGATGCAGTTCTCAAAGAAAAGGAATATTAAATGTGAATCCGCGAGCTTGGCTAATTTTTTTCCACTGTGAGCTGATTGGATGTAAAGTAGGCATTTTCTTCAGAAAGATCTGGAAAAGGGTTTCGGGGGAGTTATTAACCCAACGACATCTTCTCCTCACCATTTCTGTTTGAAGTCAAAACTGACAGGAGGGAGGATTGGTTAAATATGTTAACCACGCCTAATACCTCAGACAAACACAATTTGAGAATTTAACTGAAAACAAACAGCAAGTGCATTTTCAGATTTCAGTTTTAGGTTACAAGATCAAACTTTTTTTTTCCCTTAATGACATGCAAATATGAATTATTCACCACAAAACCGTCAAAAAACAGTGTGAGCTAACAAAATCAATATGGTTAGTTTTTATTTCATGTGTACTATAAAAAGCAATGCTTTCATGGGTTTTTACCTGTAAGGGATTTGTCTGATACTTAAAAAAATATTGATTCAAATTGTCATTGTTTTCTGCCCACGTTCAGATTGAGCAGGATTTTGTTCGGATGTTTGGTGAGGGAGTATCAAGCAGGCTACTGGAGAAGTGGACAACTGCTTTCAAGATGAAAGTGATCCAGCAGTGCAAGAAGCTTCCAAACACCAGTGATGTAGAAGAGCTCCTCCTCGGAGCAGAATTCCCGGCTAAGGTCTCAGAAGAGACGGCTGATTTTTGTAAGACGTTTAAGATTGGTTTAAAACATAGTTTATTTGTTCAGCAATATTTAGGAATCCCCTAAAGGGATTTTCCACCCAAAAATGAACATTTGCTGTTAATTTACTCACCCCCTAATGCTATTTAAGATGTTGTTCACTTTTTTATTCTTCAGTCAAACTAAAAAAGATAACTGTGGTACTTAAATTGATGATTTACAAAATACATTAACCTTTTTTAATATTGAGTTTTGATGCTTCATTAACATGAACATGTGTGTCTGAACAGTTTGGGACAGCGACCTCTCTTCTATATTACTCCTACTTCATCTGATCCCACCATCTGCCCAAGGCAGGAAGAAGCCTGGGAAGGTGTCTGCCTCTCAAGCAGAAAGAAACCTTGTAGTCTTCAAAAAGGTTGGCTTTTATTATTATCATTATTAATAATAGAATGAAAATGTACCGACACAATCAGAATTTATATACAAGAAGCAGAATTGTATGGTTGACGAAAAAAACTTTACACGCTTCAATTTAAGAAAGCACATGCAATTACAAAAAACACCAGCAAAAAAGAAACAATCTTCATCAGTTTGACAGCACACCTGTTGCAAATTCTCACAACACAAACAACTTCAGTTGTTAGTGCTGTGACCAATTGCTGCGCGTGTCTTTAGTTGTTTGGGTTGGGACCAATTGCTGCATGTTTATCATGCTCAGGTGTGAGTTTTTCAACGACTATCAAATCTGATCTTTGATTTGTATTTTATATTGGATTCAAGTCAGGGGATTGGCTGGGCCATTCTACGGCTTGATTTTCTTTCTCTGAAACCATTTGAGTTTCCTTGGCTGTGTTTAGACTACTCAGAGATTTCAGCTGCTGTCTGGGCTTTCACTGCCTTTCTATACCTCCCTTTCCTTATGCGTTCAATACTTTTTTCCGGTGTCATTTCATTTTATTACGCATACCTTCAATTGTAAACCAAATAGGTTTGTTTTCTTTTCATACATTTCTTTGGTTGTTGCCAACATCTGGTTAAAATTTCAAGTCAACAGGCATTTGTGAAGTGAATTATTGTTTCCCACTGTACATACATGCAACCATGCAAGTAATTATTTTCTTTTCTTTCTTTAACTTTGCTTGGCTTCTCAGAATGGAACGGACATCGAGGATCATCTAAAAGACATCGGTGCCAGTTCTCAGCCATATCTCTTAGCTGTGGGGGCTCACAAGTCCTCAGTCGACCAGTTCTTCATCATTCTACACCAACATGCTATTCCTTGCAAGTCCTCATCTTCGCTTGGTGCCTTTGACGAACTTTTTAAGGCACATTTTGTTTTTAGCACCCCCTACAATGCTATGTTAAACAACATGTACATTTTCATTCAGACAACAGTGTACAACATAGATGTGGGCAAAGTGAAGGAAAGTCCTCGCGTTGCTGAAGTCAGAGCCAGGCTGCTCAGCTAAGTGCCTAAAAGATGCAGTAAGGGATTTTTTTTGAATGTTGCAAGATTGGATTGTGCTTTTTTTTTTACACAGTTGTTGCCAAGCAAGAAAGAGTTTAGTGCACACTAAAAATACACAATAGAGGAAAAGGTCAGGGAAATATAACTTTAAGGCCATATTAACATTGTTGAAGCTGTACAAAGCTGGAAAGAAGGCCTGAAAATAAAGCGAAGGTTGCTTTATTTCTTTATAAATGACAAGGATATGTTAAGACTCGATGTTGGAGCAGTTCTGCTCGCATTTGCTCCTGTTATTAAATCGATGTGATGGCAAACTGAGATTGGGAGCATTTGTGTGAGAACAATAAGTGTTGTTTTCTGACCTATTTTCGTATCTGAATGAAAAACGTCACTCATTACTACACAATGCATGTGAACTAACACAGTGACTGCCTTTTTCATCATTAAATTTCTGTGGAAGTTTTGTTTTGGTTAAAGTTCGGCTACTTTAGAATGTTGAAATTATACAACTAAGTTGAATTATAAAAGAAGTTTTTGTTACATGTAAAGTATGTAACATCCTTGTATGTACTGTGATTAAAATCCATTCCTTGCCTCTAATTTCAAACGGCTGCATATAGATTTTAAGGCCAGAGTTCTGTTTTTTTTTTTTTTTGCATCTTGCATTAAGGAATGGTTATCAGAATTGGCCCATTTGCTTGTTAAAATAAATTCAGGTTGTTTATACTGTATGTAAGGAGGGGGAACCGTTTTTCCTAGTGAAGTAAGTTGTTGAGATCATCAGGATGTACACACATCATTTGTAAAAAATACTAACTGTTCTTGTTATGCTCATGAATTTTTTGTTGGATCCTATGCTGATGGCAGAGAGAGAGATGGCTGAACTAGTTGCAAAGTAGTAAAGAAAGAAAAAAATGACTACCAGCATTGTTTTTCAGCGTTCATATATCAACTGTTTTCCAGAAAGCGATTCTAAATTTGCTGTGATATCCACACATGCGTAACATTGACATACCATTAAATCCTCCAAGTTTCATTGTTTAAAACATTTATTGAAAAATGTCCCATTTGGATACAAAGTGGCGTGTGAGATCACAAGGGCACGGACATTTGCATATACACTGCCTGGAGAGCAAGATTTAGATGTATAGCCTGCTTATTGTTATAAATTACTGCACAATTGGCCTGGCCCACTGGCATTCAGTGTGCTTATTTGCATCTCTGTACAAGCTTCAGAAAGATCACATCTGGAACAAGTGAACATATATGGTGTCCTTGATAGATCTGGAGGGATTACGTGCTTTATTTTTTATCATTTTTCTTCCCATTGTTTTGTTAATGAGGGATGAATAAAATAAACTTTGTTGAAAGATGAAGCTGTTGGCTGTTTGGATTTGACAGCAGCTTCATCACAAACTGTAAATCATTTCTTTGTGAAGTATGGTTTGTATGGATCTTTTTGCCAAAACACTTGTTTAAAAGCGTTGACAATGTTTCCTATGCAATAATGTTTACTGACAAGCCTTAGTTTATGGATTAGTTCCTGGAGAGAATATTTGCATTAAATAAGCAGGGTGTTTTTTGTTTGGTTATTGTTCAGGATTTAGGACATTTTTGCACTTAAAACATCCTGAGCAAAATGGCAAGAATTTTCAACTCTTAAGACTACAGACGCAGAAAATGTGAAATAGTGTAGAAGTGGCCACAACATCTGCGTTTAAGTCAAATGTAGCAGTTAGTCTGCTTTAATGTGGTTTTGTTTGTTTCATCAATTGAGGAATTGGAGATTCAGATTCAGCTTGCTGTCGGTCCCCACAGGACCTTTACTAAAAGAAGATTTTGTAAGGTTAAGTCAATTGTTGTAAATTATGAAAAAGTACTATCTATTTGTTCGTACTGTGTGTTTCCTTAGCCTCACAGTTTTTGAATAAATGTTTTAAAGGTGATGTCTTTAAAGATTTCTATTCTGTTTACTATGTTAAAATTTCTCACTAAGTGTTGAGTTTGCAGTGCAGCAGAGAAAAGTACTGGCACTTCAAAATAACATTTTAACCTACTACAGCACCAGCTCAGTTTACAAATGAAGCATGTATGCGCTGATACCTGTATGTCTGATAATGATATATTGCACATCACTACAAAATTACTGTTCAAAATGAAAATACACAGAAAAGAGATTTTGTTTTGATTCAAACTACTTGTTTAAAATGAGCTAAAACAACAAGTTTTTTGGGAAGACGTAATTGTTTTATGTTCAATCCACTTAAATTAGTAAAAACAATTAAGTTAATTTAATCGATTTGTGTTGGGACAACATGACAGACTTTTGAACTCTGCATTTTTTCCAGTGTACTACATATTTCTTGTTTTCAAAGGGATGGTTCAGCCAATAAAAGAAAATTTACTTCGCATTTACTGTACTTAATAAAAACTGAATATTAAATAGTATTCAGTAAAATTACTGTACTTCTGAAAGCTGAATGCCTGTAACCTTTGACTTTCATATTTGAAAAAACAAATAGTATGGGTGTCTGGTTGTTTTCATTGACATCCCAAATTTAGCTTATTTTTAGCCTAGATGTCTGGATGTCTATTAGATGTCTTTTAAACAAATATATATATTTTTTTAACTATGCCTTAAATTTAAAACAAGCAGCTATTGGCAAACAATACATATTAATGAGCATCTCACACACACACGCACAAACAAGCTAAGATTATGCAGTGGTTCTTAATTGGTGTGCTATTTAGCATTGCTAAGTGGTTATTTAGTTCATAATCATAGGGGAACCAATTTAAGTGCTTTATAGCATCAGTAATGATCCTTCAGTTGTTTTTTGGTGTTGAGTTAGGTTGGGTTGACTTTATTGGTACCCGTAGGAAAATTCTTTTTGCAGCAAAGTTTAACATTTGATACAAAAATTTAAATCGCAAATAAATACCCACATAAACACATACAAAAGTACCTTATAAAATACTACAGTATTGGGGTGGTTAAGGTGCTGCATAGCAAAGTCCTAAAGTGGTTCCCATATGATTGCGAGCCAAAGAACCATTTTTATTGCTATTTAATAAGCTCACACAGAATCTGTGCATGCAGAAATCTGCAAATTTCTGGTCTTTTTTTAGTCCATTGAGTCTAATATGTGAGAATTTATATTTCTATATTTTAGTTTTTTTTAATTAAGTTCAGTTATAAGATGTTTATATGATATATCTACAATACAGTTGTAAAGTGACATTTTCTTTCTTTTATTGTAGGCGTATAGTATATAGTATAGTCTAGTACAGTCTAGTATAGTATAGAGAGAGATTTGCTTTGTTTACCAAAACAAGGTAAGGTTAGATTTGCATTAAAATCTTGGGATTAACTTAAAAAAAAAGTTTATTTCTTTTAGAAAACATTTTTTAATTTCATGTTTTAAGTGTTAGCTACTGTACTCGCCAAATTATTTATTTATTTATTATTATTATTTTAACAAAATTCTTTTCAGATGTAGCAAGAAATGTCTGCAAACTCTGTCTGGCCTTACTATTTAGCACCATTTTGTGTTTGTGTTGTTTTAAACCAGTCTCACTGTCACATTCTGGACCACAAGGTTTAATAGTTCTTAAATTAAAGTATATTCTGTATGAAATGAAATGAAGTTCAGTGACCTGCAAGTAGCTATTTGCTTGCAAATTTTGCAAGAAATTTTTGCAGATTCTTGAAAGAGTTCAACACAAAACACTCTTTATGCACTTTTGAGAGGTACAGGTAAGGTTGAACTGCAGCGCTTGGCAGAATAGTCCACCAACTGAAGCCAAGGACTAAACAATAAGTGTGGTATGGAAGTTGATCCCTCAGCACAATAACACACGACACTGTGCCATAGCCAAACACCAGTGTGATCAAGATGGCTGTAACTGCTCTAAAAGCCTTTCTCTTCAGCTGATACGCTCCTGCTTTCTCTCCGTCCCCTGGTTTGGGTCTCTTCAAAACCCACAGAATCATCACAGAACAAAATGTACAGATAACTAACATTGCCAGATACAGTCCCATTGCAAGCCACGCAGGCATTTTAGGATAGAATTGCATAGTAAAATATCCCACGATCATGGTAATCAGCCAGACAAGCACAACAATTGGCAATTTAAGTTTAGGGGCTTTCGTGTATCTTAGGTAGACCAGCGGATGGACCACAGCTAGATAGCGCTCCACACAGAAAACGGTTTGAAAGAGTGGCCGACCCACCAGGTATGTACTGCACAGGTAAATAGCAGTAAGAATAAGAACCTTCTTATTGAGAAAAGCACCTGAGATGAACACAATGACAGAGAGCTGATTAATGACCTCAGCAACAGACTGATTAAATATGACAAAGTCTGCAGATCCAACACCAGCAGTTCTTCTCACCAGCCACAGAATCCAGCAGTTCACAGGCAATAAAAGGACGGTGTTCAACATTAAGCCCATGGTGGTGAAGATATTTCCCGGATAGGAGTCCATGCACTCATAAAACGGATCATCAGTTAAGTTTCTCGCAGATTGGATGGTGCAGTTGGATAAATAGCTCAAAGTTTTGTTCTCTGCCATTTTTTCCAAAGATGTTCATTGGTTATCTGATTGAATTTAATTCAAATCACATAAATTAAGAAAATAGAACACATTACCAAAAAAAAAAAATAATAATAATGTTCAAAGATTCTTATAAACATTTGATATTTCAATGAGAATAAATGCATTTCCATACTCACACAAGCACATCTGTGCAGCCTTTAGTATGTTGTGATGACTGACTGTACATATATAGTTGTATTAGCCACTCCTCTCTACGCTCCCAGAAATAAAGGTATTTGAAAGGCTCGTATTAATTTTAAATGAGTTATTTAGCAGTTTTGTCACTATCATTATTATTATTATATTTATAGTTTACATTTTAAGTTAAATAACATGAAGAAATATTGTCCTGACTACTGTCTAAAATAAAATTAGTTTATGATTTTTATATAGGTTTGTTTTCTTCATTTTTAAAGTATCAACTAAAATTTTGTTTGAAAAACCCAGGCCCTACTGACAGTTCAAAATTTGGCCCTATATGAGCTCATTTGTCCCATTTTTTACAGAATGGCATCATATATTTTGAAAATACCTTTTGAAAGAAACCTTTAAGACTAATTTAATTATCAATTATTATTAAAATGGAGAAATTCTGACTGAGGAAATGAGCTGACCAGTTTGTTATTTGCCTATAGGCTGCAGTTTTTAATTTCAACCCAAGTTTTAACAGATTCCTTATTGTTTTTAGTAAATGATGGATGATAATAAATTAGCAATTTAAAAAATATAATTTTTTTATATTTCTTTGTAAAAAATTTTAATTTAGAATTGGAATCTCATTACATTATTTATAAAACTGTAATAAATAAACACTAACTTTTGTAAACAAAATAGTACGGTAAGCAATTTGACAAAAATGTAGGAAATGTTTTGTTGAGAGAAAATAAAAACAACAGAGAAATAAAATGAACAAAACAGATTAAAATGTTTTAAAACAGCTTATAAAAGGATGAAAAAGAACAGAAAGGCATAATAATGTGATGTGTTGGACGTAGCACAGTACTCATTCAGTAAAGGCACAGCTAAACAGATGTGTTTTCAGTCTTGATTTGAATGTGCCTAATGTTGGAGCACATCTGATCCTTGGAAGCTGATTCTAGCAGGGATGATGTAATCTGACGTAATGCACTATTTGCTTTGCACAGTTAATAACTCTACATCATGTTAGGTTCAGAGATAAATGCATAATGCCACATGCAAATTCTTCAGCAACTCTAGCCTATATCAACCTTTCCATAACAGAAGTTGATTGAAATTGAAATATAGTGACATTTGTATGTGCTATTAAACAGAGACATATTCAAATAATCCGATTGTTTCTCTTTGCCATCACAATATAAAGTCAGTCCTCTCTGCATTAAAGATGAATACATAGTTTTTTTTTAAAGTACATCATCATAATGACAATGGCTTCAAAACAATTGTTTATGCCTACTTTGGATTCACCCTCAGATCTCTCCCTGATTAACATTCATCATTCAGATCACAAGCTGTCCAACTGAGTTACCAGCTGTGTGTGTGTAATCAGGGGGAATCAGGAACTGGTGTGTATGAGGTGCATGATGGTATTTGTAGTCCAGTTCATTGACAGATATGTAACTCTTCAGTGATCTGAAAGGATTAGATCGCTGGTGATCGTGACACCAACACATGTCTGCTTAGTTACTACAGTACATTTTTATATTACTGTTAGAGGAACGGTATTTTATTTTTTATTTTTTTTTATTGAATTCATGCATTTTATTCATTTATTTGTTTTCCTTCAGCTTAGCCTCTTTTAGCCAATTATGATATGGGGATGGCTTGGAGGCCTTGATGGACAGAAGCCAGTGGGCAATTGTGGCCAGGATGCCGGAGTTAAACCCCTTCATGTTTTGAAGGACATTCTGGGATTTTTAATAACCACAGAGTTAGGACTTCGTTTTAACGTCTCATCTGAAAGACTACGCTTGAAGACAAAAGATTTTTGGTTTTGTAATCTGTATGAAACTAACGCGAGGTACAGTCTGTCCTGTCAAATGCACAACACATGACAGCGAGTACTCAAGCGCCCACAAACCTGTAAACAAAGAGTCAGTATAGAGTCCCCATCAATATACTGGGGCATTAGGACCCACCCAGATTGCAGGTTAAGCACCTCCTGGTTTTATGGTACGGATCGGGCGCAGCCCTGCTCAGCTTCAGTGGGCGACCAAGTGAAAGTTGAAGAGAGCTACTGTAGCTGCTGGCTACTTATTCAGCATATGTTTTACGCAGAGGATGCCCTTTAAGCTGCAACTCAGCACTGGGAAACACCCATACATGCTCACATTCACAAACATACATACGGCCAATTTAGTTTATTCA